ATCTTGGTGAGGCGCTTCTTGTGGACGATGGGGTCGACGACGAGCGGGTAGCGACCTGGTCGGGTGACGTGGGGAGGATGATCTCTCCAATCGAAAGTGATCGGGGAGTCCGACCAGCTAAGGAAAGAGGGGACAGCCGTCTCGGCGGCACATGCCTCTCTATAGCATACCTTTTGCTGGCGCTTAGAGTGGATGGCGTCGGATCCCCCAAAGATCATGAGGCATTCCTCAGGGTCAAGGAAGCCATCATCATCCCTGCCCGCCGCGCCTCCTTTCTTGGCCGCTACCTCCTTGCCCTTTCCTTCCTTCGGCTTGTCGGCATGCCGCAGAAAGCGTTTGAGGAGCTCGCAGTCCTTGTAGAGGTGCTTGATGGGGAAGGCGTGGTTGGTGCAAGGACTCTCCATGAGCTTGTCGAAGTGGTCGTGCTGGCCCTGCTGAGGCTGCTTGCCTGCACGATCGGCTGCGGTGACCAAGGCTGGGTTAGTCGATCGGCGCCGATCCTTCTTGCCCTTCTTGCCCTTTTGTATAGAGGGGCCCTCAGCTTGGTCCTCGTGTTTGGCCTTGCCCCTGTCCCGACCGCCACTGAAGATCACCCCAAACACCTCCTCGCCGGAGGCGTGGTTCGTGGCAATGTCGAGTAGGTCGCGGGTGGTATGGAGCTTCACACAGCCGAGCTTGTGGATCAAGGACTTGCAGGTTGTCCTAGAGATGAACGCGCTGATGACGTCCGCATCAATGACATCAGGAAGGGAGTTGCACCGTTTTAAGAACCTATGGATGTAATCCTGTAGGGACTCATTGGGCTCCTGCTGGCAGCTCTTGAGGTCATAGGAATTCCTAAGACGGACATATGTCCCCTGGAAATTTCCGATGAAGATCCTCTTGACATCTGCCCAGTCACGGATGCTGTCGGGCGGGAGGAATTCGAGCCATGCTCAAACATGCTCCCCCACGTAAATGGGGAGGTACTAGATGATGAAGTGGTCATCATCCACTCCTCTGGCTCGGTAGGTGAGCCAGAAATCTTTGAGCCATATACCGGGGTTGGTCTCCCCGGTGTATCTGGCGATGTTGGTGGGTGGTCGGAAGCGCTGTGAAAACAGCGCTCTCTGGATGCGACAACCAAAGGCCCGTGGTCCCGGGCCATCCGGGCTAGGACTCCGGTCGTCTGGTCGGCGACCATGCCTGGGGTGCGTGTCCCCACACTCCTCGATGGTCAGGCCAAGATCCGTGCTGCCTGCTCTCGCCGCCACTCGATAGACGTCATCATCATGATGGGCATGACATCGATTGTCGATGACGCTACGAGCGTCATGGTTTGGCCCGAGACATTCACGCATGGGTGGTTGGTGTGGAGCGGGCGTCGGGTTGGGCTGCGGTGTAGCCACGGCATCCTGCCCCACTCCTGGCAACCTATAGTGGTGAGTGGATGGAGCGAGTTGACTGGTGCGGCCCTGTCCCCTAGTGGGGCAAGAGGCCACAAGCTGATGTCGCGACATGGAGCTGTCCGCCTGTTGAACGGCAGCGGTCTCTACCAGTGCCCGGAGGTTCCGATGGATTGTCAGCTCCTAGGGGTGCGACCTAAGGAGGCCGCGCAGAAGCATCGCTGCAGCAGCGATGTTCTGGCTAGCTCGAGCGAACTGAGGGGGTCGTTCCCTTCATCCAAGATGTTGCAATGGACCTAACGGGTGTGACCCCGAGCGCCACTCGTCGGGTTCCACGCGTGTGGTGCAGCGTGCTGCGCCGAGCGCGCCAGCACAAGTGGTGGCTGGCTCTGCCGCCTTTGTCGTAACTCCTCGCCATGCTTCTTTTCATGAGCAAGGGCCTCCGCACGAGGGTCTGGAGGGGTGTGAGTCTGTAGAGACTCCGCTACCATCGGTGGCTGTCCTGGAGCGTCCGCCATAGTGCACTCCCGGGACAGAGGGTGGCCAGGTGCCACGACGTCACCGATGCTGGAGCCATCGCTTTCAACCTCGTCATCCACGAGGTCGTGAAAAGAGGCAGGAGCATAGCCCGCCATCCCCAAGAATTCGGATGTGAGAGGGGGCGGTGTCAGCATGCTTTGGAGCCCCAGTGTGTACGCATCCACGGGGGATGCGAAGCCGTAGGGGAACCGGTCGCACGACAGTCGCGTGGGGACAATGGGGTCCCTTCGGAGAGCCGGCGGAAGGTATTAAACAGCGAGTAAAGAACAACATGTGCGTTACTCACCGTGGAGTTTGAACCTAGCATGGGCTCTAGGCGAAGTGTGGGTGTCTCGACGTTGAGGTCATCGAGTGGCCTGGGGTCGGCGGAGGACGCTCCTCCTCTAGTGGGCACCGGGCAAGTGCCTCCTCGCGGAGGCGGAGTACATCGAGCTGGTCGGCGACGAAGTCCAGACTTCTAAAGAGGAAGGTCTGGAGCGGCTTAAAGACGGGAGGAACCCACATCCCAACAGGTGGGAACGTGAGAAACTCCAGCGAGCCAAAGCGAATCGTACTGCTCAAGCCCGTCATGCCGAAAATGGTGGAAAGGTGGGCCATCCGATGACCAAAAGCGTGAACGCACGGCGTCCTCCCCACGGACGATGCCAACTATCGGTGCGAAAAGTGACCAACAAGTAAACATTTGTAGTTTTTGCCGTGCGTTGTGATTGGATATGGACTAGCACTCAATGACATAGGATTTATACTGGTTCAGGCAACGTGCCCTACGTCTAGTTTTGGTTGGTCGGTGACTTTATTCCTGAGCCCAGGTGCTCGGAGTTTGCTGTGGGGGTTACAAACGAGTAGGAATAAGAAGGGGGGTGTTAAAGGTCTGGTTGGACTCTGAACCAAAGGGCCAAGAGTGACGGGAGCTCTAACATGCGCTAAGTGTTGGAGCGTGTACTCTGTGTAGCTTTAGAGTTCTAGAGCTGTGGAGCTGTTCGAATGCTCAGATTGTCTAGAGCCAGCCAGAGAGAGAGAGAGAGTCTGAATGACCGTTTTTGTTGGGAGAGAGCGCATCCTCTTTTATAGGTGAAGGGGGTGGCCTTACAAGTTAGATAGAAAGAGAGAATGTATGCATGTGCTACCTAGTCTTGTAGCTCACGCCATCAGGTATGAGATAATTGTTGGCGCCCACAATACTGTTCATACCTAGACACGTGTGGCAGGTTTTACCGTGTTCGCCTGATATGGTAAATGTCGGCGCCTACAATACTATAAGGCAAATATCGGCGCTCACAACACTGTTTGGGTTCTGACACGCCTAGAAGGTTGCATAGTACCCGTCTGGCATGGCCTGATGGCACTGCCCTGTAGGTGTGTAGGGTATGGCTGGGTACGGTCCTCGGTATTGCGGTTGACTTGAGTACCTTACCTTATCTACTTCGCTTGATCCTTGGGTCCTCACGGAGAGGGCGTCCCCGGTCGGTCATTCCCAGTTGGCTCCGACCGTGTCGGTCAGGGAAGAATCTCGAGCGGAGGTCCGGTGCATTCTCGATCGAAAAAAGAGGTCGGAGTCGGACTACATCTCCTCCTTGGCCAATCCTTCCGGTCGGAGACCGGATCTTTCTCCCGGACGGTCGTTAGGTAACTAGGCCGGCCCGGGAGGGGCGCGTTGTCTCTACGCCGTCTGCTGGGCCGAGTTTTCGCTGGAAAGCAGGTCCATTGGGGAACCCGGGTTTATGAACCCGACGTTAAGCGTTTCACGGTTTCTCAAAAAGATAGCGACATTTCCTTTCCCCACCAACGCATGCGACCGTCGCTAGCACATCCACCGCGTCGCTCGCCTGCTCTGGCCACCGCGACCTTCTCCAGGGTGCGCCGCACCCGGCCCCCATCCCGTGCTCCTCCGCGCCCCATGTCGCACCCCATGGCCATGGCGTGCACCGCGATAGGGAGGGGAGGCTTGCGTCTGCGCCTGGATGTACGCTAGACAGCTCTCGACATCCCCCCTGCCCCGAGCTTGCTGGATATAGCAGTTCCCCACCAGGTAGGCTGTGGTCACCGGTAACACTGTGTTTCATCTGTTTCAGACCTATGTTTCAAGTATTTTATCTAGATGTTGGAAAAATAGATCTGGGATGTTGCAATAACAATATGCGCATGTTGCAAGACTATATTTCAAGTGTTTCAGGTGTTTTCAGACGTATGTTTCAAGTGTTCCATGTGGATGTTGCATATGTTGTTATGGCTCTACCCGCATGTTGCAAGCGTATGTTTCAAGTGTTTCATACTTATGTTGTAAGTATTTCATCTGGACGTTACAAAAGTATATCCGGATGTTGTATATGTTACTGTAACTATACATTCATGTTTCAAGTGCATGTTTGTTTTATTTATTTTAGACGTACGTTGCAAATGTTTCATTTGAATGTTTCAAAAGTAGATCGATCGTGGGTCGGGTCAATCCACGTGGGTTTCCATGTGGGCGCGGGGGCGCGGTCTTGCGACAGACGCTGACGTTAGATGAGATGCGGACGCGAAGGCGTGGGGCAACATGCTGACGCGGGGCGTGGGACGAGATGCGAGCGGGGGAGCTGCGTATGAACACGACATCCTGCTCGAAGCCACGTCCGCCGCCACCATGGACGTCAGTCGTCACATCTGACATCAGCAGAAGGACCCACCAGTAGTCCCACCGGTAAGTAAGCATATACCACTCATTAGCCAGCTGCCAGGCTACGCTCAGCCATGAACTACGAGCACCGGCACCGCCGCTCGAGTAGGCGGCAGGCGGCAGAAGGCCCACGGGCCACCGCGTAGGCGTAATACCCCGCGTCGCTCCTTCAACGTCACAGCCACGTAGCCCGACTCTATGACAAGTGGGACCCAGTTGTGGTACCGGTACGTGTTGCCTGCCGCATTGTGAAGGCTTTCGGAGCGTTTCGTTTCCTTCGGTGCCGGCCGCTGCCCGCTGCCACCTTCCTCGTGTCCTCGCTCGTCCTCCACCCACTCACACGTTTCCTGCTACTTACTGCTCTTGGTCAGGGCTCGGGAGCAAGCTCGCCGGATCAGATCCACGAGCGCGGCGCGGCAATGGGCGGCTTGGAAGGTGGGTGGCAAACCCATCGAGCACCCCAACGGCGGGATCCGGTGCCGAATTGCCCAGCTCATCGAATTCGTTCCTTCTTGCAGGCGCTGGTGCTGGTGCCGGTGGCGGCGGCGGCAAGGTCGGCCTGCCGGCGCTCGACGTGGCGCTTGCGTTCCCGCAGGCCACGCCGGCGTCCCTCTTCCCGCCCGCTGGTGAGCCCCCTCGCAGCCTCGTCGCTCCCGCTGTTCTCTCGTGCTAGTGCTACTACGTGTTGGCAGGCGTACGTGTGTGGCTGGGTTGCCACTTGCCACTTTGCCAGTAGTGTGCCTCAACTCTCTCGCTCCCACTTCTTCTCCCACTCGCCGGCGACGAGCTCTCGCGCGTCCTCCCTTCTTCTGCATTGTGCTCTCCGGGCACATTTGTCTTGCGAGCCGTACGTCCTCATTAGCTGGCAACCGTACGTTACGTACGTATGGGGGATGTGGCTAGCTAGGGCGCTAGGCGCTAGGCCTTCTTCTCCTCAGTCCTCACAAGTCACCAGATCTGTCTGCATTCTCCGTTTGCTGAGGTTACAGGAAGAATGCAATTGAAATTAGTGGTGTTCAGTTCATAGCATTGTCATGCATCCTCTTGAGCAAACTGATTAAAATTTTAACAGTTTGCTGCCATTGTCTTGTGTGTTGGTAGATGTAAACTTTTAAACACCATCAAGTAGAGAACTTCTGATTGTCGATAAACGTGTTGTTGAATTCATCATGATTGTCACCCATTGAGCCTCTTACCTACTGTACCCTTCTTGTGTGTGTGTGTGTACTGCTGTTCATGACTATCTTTGCAACAGCAAAAAAATTACCTTATAAAAAATGTGCAAATTTCCACCATTACTGCAGTTATTATTGACAATAATACATATGCGGAGGGCAAGTCAAGGTCAATGGACTTGCTAACAGTTTTCACAACACACTTACTGTAGAGGCAACTCAAGGGATGTAACCCAACCAAACAAGAGCCAACCACAAGCAAAACGAACAAGACCAAGCCTATATCCTGCATCTGCCCTCAGCCTGGCCCAACCCAATCCAGAGGTACCTGTCACATCGTACGCCTCTCTTCGTTCAAAATGGAAAAGGTCAAAATAGTTTCATAAATCAATTATGGCTGTTTGTAAGCTGCAAATGTTTCTTGTTTTCCATCGGAAATAGAAACTGACACGGGAAAATGGGAAATGCACTGACCATCCCTTTTGAAGCGGAGGATGTACTGTTCTGTTCATCCTTTCTAATCGTTTATTCTTTGTTGCACCCTCTCTGATTCCAAACATAAGCCCATTACCACATCCAACTACAGAACAGTACATATTTCTTGCGATCCGGTAATACGGGAACTGAAGTCTGTATTTGGTATACTCTAAAAACTACCGTGAGCTGATCAATGTTTTCAAGTCGTCCGATTAATCACGATTAATCGTCCTAATCAGTCCCTGCTGACTAATTAGGGGTACCGTCGACTTGTACAAGTCGTCCAATTAATCGCGATTAATCGTGATTAGTCGTCCTAGTCAGTACCATGGCGACTAGGTTCGACTGGACGACTTGAAAACATTGGAGCTGATAGACCAACAGATGGGTTCCTTTCAATGATCAAAATGAATTTGCTTTATTTGACTCATACTTGTGACATGACAAGAGTGCTTTCTGATTTATCGTTGGGTGACTCATTGGTGCAACTTGCATTGAACAACAACTGGTGTGGACCTGTTTCCTTATGTTTTGTTGTTATTATATCAGAAAGAACATGACTCTTGTCTAGCAATCTAACTCCCTCTAGGCTTACTGTGTAATTGAATTCCGTTTCCACTTAAATTATGTTATTCAGCATTGCATAGGTTAATTATAAGTTTTAACTACCACATATAGTTTGTAGCCTTATGTGAATTATGAGCTCACCTGTTGTTGGTTGCAGTGTCGGACTACTACCAGCTTGATGATTTGCTGACTTATGAAGAGAAGGTTCTAAGGAAGAAGGTCCAAGGTGTTATGGAAAAGGAAATCGCGCCCATTATGACTGAAGTATGTTCTTGACGGAGACAGTTACCGGTCTTTCTGATTTCTCGCTAGTCACAAAACACAAACTGATGTGGACTAGCCCTTTAATTAGTCGACCATATCTTTTGTGTCAAAATATTGTAGCAACTGTGCTTCTTATATTTTACTGTGACATCTTGTTCTTCACTCCCCTTTCAACTGACTTTGCTGGTCTGTAATACTACTGCCTATCTTGCCATAGCCTTACATGACGTCATTTTACTTCTGCAGTACTGGGAGAAGGCAGAATTCCCATTTCATGTCATTCCCAAACTTGCCACTCTTGGCTTAGCTGGAGGTACAACAAAGGTACAAACCAAACAGCTCTTCTACTTTCGAATGTTTGGCCTCACCGAAATACGCAACAAGTCACTGAAGTTTGTATTTTGAAATTTCAGGGGTATGGGTGCCCAGGGCTATCGCTTACAGCTGCTGCTATTTCAACTGCAGAAGTTGCACGGGTGGATGCGAGCTGCTCCACATTTATTCTAGTTCATGCCTCTCTTGTAATGCCGACGATTGGTAAATCTAGCACTGTTTTACCATTTATTAGTTCTATGGGATCTTGGCTACCAACTACTTTGTACACCTGAGCTAAGTGTTTCATTTTTATTTATCTATTTATTTCTATGAAGAGTAGTTCTTTGTGGATCAGAGGCTCAAAAGCAGCAGTATCTACCATCTCTTGCTCAGTTTAAAACGCTTGGTTGTTGGGTGAGTTTTATTGTTTAATTTAAATTTTAACCCTTTGTGCTTATACAGTCAACACTCTGCACTTCAGTGTTTAGTTTCACCTTTCTGAGAGAATTGCCCGCTTTCTGCAGGCATTGACAGAGCCAGATTATGGAAGTGATGCAAGCTCCTTAAGGACTGCAGCAACTAAGGTTTAATTAGTTTGGAATTATAATTTTTTTTAATGAAAGACCAATGTGAAATTTTTTAGTGATGACGACAATGTGGCCTTTCTGCACTGCATTATAACGTTGGTTATTATTTTGTAAGGTACCTGGTGGTTGGCATTTAAATGGCCAAAAGCGTTGGATAGGTAACAGCACTTTTGCAGATATGCTCATCATTTTAGCCAGGAATGCAGAGACAAAACAACTAAATGGGTAATCATCTTTTTTTTTTTGAGCTTGTGTTGCTGGTACTGTTTATATTGCTCTCTATACATCATGATTGGTTTCATTTCCCCTAAATACCAACATGAAAGCTATTTCTATTGCTCGCCAATTCAAGGATTATCCTGCTCGTTGTTACTGAATACGATACGCTCCCTCTAGATTTATAGTAAAGAAAGGGGCTCCTGGTCTGAAAGCCACAAAAATTGAAAACAAAATTGGACTCAGAATGGTGCAAAACGGTGACATAGTTCTAAATGAAGTATTTGTCCCCGAGGAAGACAGATTACCTGGCATCAATTCGTTCCAGGATGTAAACAAGGTACTGGATGCCTCTTCTACAACCTGTCGTGCTCTGTGCTTTGTCAGATAATCAGAATTTTATTTGGTGAAAGTTTTAACTTCTCCATGCTTTGTTGGATCAAGATTTTGATTTGGTCGCATGCTTTTATAACTTTTTGTAACAGGTCTTTGCCATGTCTCGCGTCTTGGTGACATGGCAGCCAATAGGCATATCAATGGGAGTCTTTGACATGTGCCATCGGTACGGTGTGAAACTGAAGCCATCCTACCTACTACATCTATCTTTTAGCTCCTTTTGATCCTATAGATTTCCACTAAATTAGAATCTGTGTGTGTGGCTGAAACTGAATAGGTATTTGAAAGAGAGGAAGCAGTTTGGAGCTCCGCTGGCAGCTTTTCAGCTCAACCAAGAAAAGCTTGTCCGAATGCTGGGCAACGTTCAGGCCATGCTTCTCGTTGGCTGGCGACTGTGCAAGCTTTACGAGGCAGGCAAATTGACAGCAGGCCATAGCAGTTTAGGCAAGGTTGGCAAATTGTAGTATAGCCAGCAGCAAGGTTTATCTGGTGGTTCCTTTTGATTTGCCAAGAGTAGTCTGTGCTGTTTTCATCATTAGGTAGTTTCCTGCACAATCTAATCTAATCTACTGATAGACGACACCAACTGAATGCAGGCGTGGACGTCCAGGATGGCCAGGGAGGTGGTTTCTCTTGGCCGGGAGCTGCTGGGTGGCAACGGCATTTTAGCTGATTTTCTGGTCGCAAAGGTAAGGAGCGAGGGGCTCAATACTCCAATAGGCACCAACATCTGCTGAGACTGTCTTTTAATCTCATCTTCAACCTTCACGTTGCATATATACTTGTCTCTGCAGGCGTTCTGTGATCTGGAGCCGATTTTCTCGTATGAGGGCACCTATGACATTAACAGCCTGGTGGCTGGCAGAGAGATCACCGGGATCGCCAGCTTCAAACCTGCCATGGTAGCGAAATCGCGCATGTGAATTGTGAAGTGAAACTTCCCGTTTTCCCGTATTTATTTACTCGATCAGTACGTTGATGCGTTCAATTAATCGCTGGAACTGTAATAGTAATAGGATAACTTGTGTGCCTATTTGGTAAGTATGTATTTGCCTACAGACTTTGTCGGTACCATGCATTAATTTCTCGTAATTGCAAAGGTGAGTGAGAATGTTAGTACTACTAACTCACTGCAAGGAAAAGTTTAATGCTTCCGTCAGGCAAACTAACGACGCAGCGGCCATGTCGTGGTGAGAAGCCCTTACGGCAGTCAGTCGAGTGGCCCATCAAGGCCCACGACACCGCACGCACGCGCTATGGCACGAGCTGGCCATGGCGAGCGAGTCGGGCCCTTCCCATCCTGCACCTCGACCGTTCTGCTCTTCCGAGGCCCGTGGGCCGTGACATGTTCTCCGTGCTTCCAACGCACGTTCTTAAATACAGTAATATGGTCTGATGCACACCGAGCAAGATTAAGGGCATGTTTCATATACATGGCTAATTACTAGCTGGACTAAAAATTAGCTCAAATTAGCTATTATCTAGCTTTGACTAACTACTAGTTAAATATTTGTCTAAAAAATTAGCCCACCTTATTAGCTCTTCTGTTTAGATGTGCTAGAGCTAATTTTAGCTAATTTTAGCTAGTCGGCAATTAGCTCTTGTATCCAAATATGCCCTAAGTGCATGCATAACTGAAAAGAGACATCAAATTGTTGTTTCCCTCCAATGAAGATTTAGTAGTAGTAACATACGCAAGAGTATATGCCCTCTAAGACAAATTTTACTTTGTTAAAATGAGTAATGAAAGAGCAATGTATTCAGAAATACAAAGCAAAAATCATCGAATCTAGGGACCATAATTGATAAAAAGGTTTTTGCAAACAAATAATGTTGCCAACCTAAGCTAGGTTTGGCGGTGCTCCATTCGCCTTGCCACTCTCGATCCATAAAGTGTGCTATGTTTAAAGCCTACCATTCATATAAGGTTTCTTTTGGCAAGGTTCCAGCTCTTACTTCTTATGACTTTTTCGCAAGAATCCCTGTCAAACATCCATCTAAATAATGGCTCCATACAAAGAGACTGGAGAAGTCAGAGTTGTTTTTTACTAAGGAGCCAGAGTAAAAAAAATTTGGCTTTGCTCGGTCATTCCTCACAAACTATAACTAAAGTTGTTTTTGCCAAATGTTTTCTAAATCAGCTTTAGCTCAATCAGAAAAGCTGCTCCATATATAAGAGCCAGAGCTAGAACCCTGCTAAACAGGTCCTAGCCTATGTGGAGCACAATATATCATCGAGAACCTCGATCCCCATCCCTAGTAGTCCATTTCACTCCAACCTTCGATATGATGGTAAGACAATAAGATAACATGTTTCTACTTGTAGCAGTGCAGGGACTTAATAAGGAGGTGGTAAAGGTAATCCCGTCACCACGCAAGTTGTGCTGCTCTATTAGGACATGTATGTATAGCAATCCAAACAATCGTTGTATATAAGATGACTTCATCATATCAATCATAGACAACACTATAGACAAGCCAACTATCAACCAATTGTTTCTAAACTATAATACGTTTTGATCTTCCTAGATACATAATTTTCTCTATGCATTTAGAAATATATTATGTCTAGATACATAATAAAAACATTGCATCTAAAAAAGCCAAAACGTCTCATAATTTGAAATGAAGAAAGTATGCAATCATATATAATAGATGATAACTTTGTTACTGAAAAATATTATATATAACTGTAAGAGATTTTTCAGACCGTCAGTTAATTACTAGAAGATATATTTCTCTCTGTTTTATGCCAAAAAATTGATATATCTTTTTTTAAAAAAATACTTCTCCTATATTTCAGGTGCCAGAATTTTAAGATGATTTCAGACAACACAATTGTACAACTAATTAGTACAAGTAAATTGTTACCTTTGTCTTTGTATGTATCATAACATATCACATTTTTGTTCTTGTCTGACTATAGAAATAATTGTTAATTGCTAATTGTCTTTGTGACGACTCAAATTAGATTTTGTCGAGTTTAGGACTTTGTCTAACGATTTTTTTATTCTCGAAACAAAAAATTGTAGATTATGTCAACATAAATTGTATCTAACGAAAACTACAATTTTAGTATAAAAACATACAATAATCATCGCCTAAAAGGAAGCCGTATGAATTTTAGCAAGTACTTTTAAAAAAGGCTAATGTCACCGGTCACCGCTGTAACCCTCCATATCTCGTGCTAATAAAAAACCTGTTATAAAAGAAAAGAAAAAAAAAGAGCCGGGGACACGAAGACACGCCATCCGAGTTGTCCGTGACGTGTCACGGACATGGTGCCCACATCGCAGAGTCGCAAACGCGACCCGCCAGGCGCCTGCCACTTCCACCGCCACACCATCACGGTAGGATAGGGTAGGAACGACGGCAGCATGGAGGATTGGAGCAGCACATGCACACGTGGGCCCATCGCATCCGGCGCCGTGGAGCCTGCAGAGGGAGGGCCCACACCCACCGCCACCTGGTGCTGGTAGGGCGTGGCAGCCCATGCGCCCCTATCCAATCCATCGCGACCCACCTCGACGTCACTGCTCTCTCCGCAGCCCGCCTCCTATGACAGGTGGGTCCGGGGACAACTTCTGTTCCTCCACGTAAAAGGCTCTCCACTCCAAAAAGTCTGCAACCCACCAAATCGTTTTCGTTTCGTTTCGTATCGGATCGTGCCGCTCTGCCCCTCGTCTCGTCTCCTCTTCCTCCTCTGTTCCTCCACCTACTACTCCTTTGATCGGGGAGGGGAGCTCGACGTAGCCGGAGGCGGATCCACGAGGGGCGAGTTAACGCCATCGAGCGCTGCGATGGGCAGCTTGGGAGGTGGGTGCCAGACCGAGCTCTCGGACGGCGGCGTCCGGCGGATGAGTCGGGGGTGGTGGGCTATTTATTCGCCGTGGTTGACCGGTTCCCTTTCGCTGCTGCAGGGAGCGCCGGTGCCGGGGCCGACCTCGGCGGCAAGGTCGGGCTGCCGGCGCTGGACGTGGCGCTCGCGTTCCCTCAGGCCACGCCGGCATCGCTCTTCCCGCCCGCCGGTGAGATATCTATCTCCTTGTCAAGCTGCATCCGCTCTCGCGATTTGTGTACTACTAGTAGTTTGGTTATATTCGTTCGAACGAACTGGAGATGCCAGAATTGTTCGATCAAATCAATATGATTGCGTAAGCGGCGAATCGATTGTGACGGCGTAAGCGGCAAATTCTTTCTTTTCTTCTATTTCTCATTCGACAAGGGTGTCTGCCTCGTCATTTTCAGAGTGGAGGATCCATGGCTCCGTTCATCCTTTTGCAGTACAGTAATGCTCTCGAGTCTTTCTGTTGCTTGTTTGGGTGCGAATGAGCAGAGCTCCAGTTTGTACTTGTCTCCAAAGATGTGGTATTCCAATAATATGAGGGGGTTTTTTTTGGGCACCCAGACGCTGCAACCATGTCTTCAATTTTGATGTAGTTCAATTTTTTCTGGAGTTTGTTTATGATCCCCTTTTATCCGTGGTTAATCTTACTGGAGTTGGGTTGCATTCAGAGTTAGAGTAACTTTCAAGGACGATATGGATTTCTTGTGACCTGTATACTCCTACATAATAGTCACTAGAAGCATTCTTTGTTGTGTATTGAAAACTACCTTGGGCAGATGCGGGCACACGGTACTCTACTTTATTTCAGCTGTCCCTCTTTTACTTTTTGACAAGAGTGCTTCTGGTTGGATAATAATTGGGCGGCTCACTGTCACTGTACAACTTGCATTGAATAACACGTGATGTGGACCTGTTTTCTTATGTTTTCTGTTGCTGTCAGAAAGAACTAGACTAATCTTTAGCTCATCTCTAGGATTATTGTGTAATTAATGCTCGTGTCAGCTAGGTTACTTAGCATTGTGCAGTGTCGATTGCATATTACAATCTGTGACTCCTGCATCATAATTTGCAGGATGTCAGTTGTCAGTTTCCATTTACCTTTGAGCTGACCTGTTGTTGGTTGCAGCCTCGGACTACTACCAATTTGATGATTTGCTGACTGATGAAGAGAAGGCACTCAGGAAGAAGGTCCGGGGTATCATGGAAAAGGATATTGCGCCCATTATGACTGAGGTATGCTCTTGCTAAAGACAGTTACTAATCTCTCCATGCTTTTCTTTTTGACTGAGTAATGGCAGGAGAAGTGCTCTTAATTAAGCTGAAGAAGATAAAAATAGCTGTAATGTACGCAGATTGGGCTACCAAAGGCATTATGCTGCTAGAAAATAACCGCTCGACTCAGATTTACTAAACAACATATGTAATCTTTCTGATTTTCTTACAAAACATTTAATATGGAGTAGCTTTTCAGTGAAATATTTTTTTTTAAATGAAATCTTGTAGTGGTATAGTATACACCATATTCCTTTTCGACCATTGCATTTTAGTATTTTACTCTCCCTTGAACTGACTTGCTAATGTACTGCAAGTCCTTTATACTGCCTCATCTTGTCATAGGCTTAAATGGTGTCATTTTACTCTGCAGTACTGGGAGAGGGCTGAATTCCCATTCCATGCCATTCCCAGCCTTGCCAGTCTCGGCTTAGCTGGTGGTACAATAAAGGTTGCAACCAAACAAATATGGGCTCTATTTTGAAGGTAAAGCCTATCCACCTGCACATCATTTCATTGATTTTTTTCCCTTCAAATTTACAGGGGTATGGGTGCCCAGGACTCTCGCTTACAGCTAGTGCTATTTCGATAGCAGAAGTTGCACGGGTCGATGCGAGCTGCTCCACATTTATTCTAGTGCACTCCTCGTTGGCTATGTCCACGATTGGTAAATCTAGCATTTCTCAGAACATTTTATACAGATGTCCAAACAACTTTGTACACATGTGCTCAGGATCTCAGTTATCGTTTTTTCACCCTTTCTTCCTCAAGAGTAGCCCTTTGTGGATCTGAGGCTCAAAAGCA